TTGATAGCACCTATAGTGGAAATAGTCGACAAACATATAACAATAAAAATGATAATTATGATAGTGAAATTAAATAGGAATCAAGTAGAAAACAAGAAAATACAATAGACACTTACCCTCATGCTAATACTCTAACACAAATACAATCTAACGACGAATCAAATCAAGCACCATTTGTAAAATATTTTTTGTGAGAATTAGACAACAAACAAAATGATTTAAATATTTATTTTTATAGTCCTTGAATTTAACAGCATCACTTTGTGTACGAACAAAAGAATTAGATATTGAGAAGAAGCTTGTATATGCTCGTTCATTAACTGAACAGCAAGAAAATTCAATAAAAAATTTCATTCATCATTCTACTCTAAAAACCCTTGAATGAGAAATATTATTCTTTTTAACAAGTTCATAATACAAACAAATGCAAAATTTGTAAGTCTCATGTTAACATAATTCATTTCGGTACTTTCGAAAATTACGGAGATGAGCACCGCTCTCAACTCTCTTTGAAATGAAAAAGAAGGTAAATTTTAGTAAAAAAAACCTAATGTAAGGTGCACGTAATGCAAAAGTCGAGCAGAAAACAAAACTAAATGAATTATACATCAGTTGATAGAGCTTTTCCCGCTGATTCAGAATATATATTTTCAAAATTTGCAGACCTCACCTGAGCCGAGAAAATTGCAAAATACTAAGGATTTCAGAAAACCCAAAAAAGCTGGACTTTTCCCATTAATCTGAGAGATAGACCAGTAGGAAATAAATAAGAAAAGAAAAATGAGATAACTGCTGTAAATAACATCTTATTCAATATTTATTTCAAACAGAAATAAAAAAAAGAGAGGGGAGATTCGAGCTTTCGTGTCCTTGTTTGAGGGTGTGGGTGTGGCTGTGGCTGTGGCTGTGGCTGAGGGTGGGTGTGGGTGTGGGTGTGGGTGTACGCTTAAGCAGGTGATGGTGTGGGTGGGCGTTTGACCAGGTGATGGTGTTTATGCTGTTGATACCCACATCCACACCCTTCTTTACTTACCCTCCTGATTGTTGAGAATTTTTCGCAAGCGACATAATGAGAAAACACACTTTCCTTTTTTCCATTCATTTAGCTATTCAGAGTATTCTCCGCTGCTTTCTGAGAACAAACTAAAATTTTAGTTTTGTTTGAGTTTCTGTTTCTTCATTTAGCTATCTTAGCGGTGATCGCATGCTTCCTGAGACAAACCGAATAAGTTAGCCGAGTTTGCTTTATTTGCATTTACTATGTCCGCACTTGCCCAGTTCTTCTGAGAGAAATAGAGAAATCTAGGTTAGTTTTCTTTTTTCTTCTTTCATCTACTTATTCTGATAGTTATTAGGAAATTTTTACAGAAGCGATAGAATGAGAAACCATATTTTCCTTGTTTTTTTTTCGTTTAGCTATCTCGAATAATGTCCTTCATTTTGTGAGAAAAGCCTAAAAGGTTAGTTTCGTTAATTTTCTCTTTCTTCATTTAGTTATCCAGAGAGTGATCGCGCATTTTATCGGAAAAACAGAATTAGTGTGTTTAGTTTGCTTTTTTTCGTTTATTTGCATTAATACTTTGCTGCTTCTTACCAGAGAAACGGAGAAAGCTACTTTAGTTTACATTTTTTTCATCTACTTCTCCCCATTCTTGCCGAGAGATTTTCACAGAAGCGATAGAGTGAGAAAGCATGGTTTCATTTTTTCTCTTCATTTAATTATTCCCAGTATTCTTCTTCATTTTCTGAGAAAAAGCCTTTTAGGCTAGTTTCGTTAATTTTCTCTTTCTTGATTTAGTTATCCTGATAGTAATCGTGCATTTTATGAAAAAAGATCGAATAACTGAGTCTACTGTCCTTTACCCACACCCACACTCACCCACATCCTGATTTATAATTATGGTAGTAGAAATTTAATTATTTAGGATATGTTTTTATTGTTGTATATAGTTAGTCGTTGGTTTTAAATAAACAGGAGAATTAATTTTCAATATGGTTTTATTTTTTAATTTAATTTGCGAAATAACTATTAGAAGTATAGAATGATAATATTAAAAGTGTGTCTGCCATCGTTATTTTACTTATGAGGATGAGAGAGTCACTCTCAAAGATATTATTCAAAGCTGATATCTAACTAATCTCACAAAAAGATGTTACACTTGTTAGAGTAGCCAATTTATTAATACTATTCCTCGATACAAAAAAAAATGCAAAAAAATTTCGTTTGTAAGATTGCTGTTATTTTCAAACAAAGTGTGAGTAGTTGTGAGTGATGAATGTAAAGGAGAATGGTTGATACGCATGAAACCTCTATTTCACATAAAAGAAAAGAAAAACTTTTTGCTTTGTGAATATAATCTATGCGTTTCATCAGTGAAGCCGTATATATATATATATTCGGTAGAACTCATAAATAAAAGCAAATTGAATTTCAGTATTGTTGAGAAAGACGTTATAATTATAAAATGATACATCAGAGAAAACCAAGTATTGTAACAATTTCGCATCTTCGTCGTCATCGTTCATTGAATAAAAAAGTGAGCATTTCCTTTTATCGTTTATGATTTTTTTTTAATAAATTGATTTTAGCATAAACATTCATCCATTAAAAGACGACAATCAAATACTATCATCCATGTAACTCTCGGTTTATCGAGAGATATTTGTTTAACAAATACTAAAAATAATTTACGTGAACAACTTTCAGCTAGGATAGACAATCATCAGTATCAAGAAAAATAAATAAAATCAACAATTATTCAAAATCCAACACAATATGAAAAAGGATCCACACATTTTACTAACGGTATTAAAATTTATCGATGTTACCGTTCTCTTTCACAAGTAAGAAATCTCTTCAGGAAATTAAGTATATTTTCAATTACTAGATCAAGAAAAGTGCTACTGAACAAAGCAATCGTTACCACAACTTAATAGTTCAACGGAAACTGAAACTGATCAAGATTCCAAAATTAGTACAAGTACAAAAATTAAGAGTCATTTATTACGAACTTTCAGAGTGTCTCCTCGTGAGGTGGTGTATCATCTTTCTTGTCAAAAATATATATTACACAAACCTATACAATAAATGTTTTTTAGAATGTTATTATTGATCATACCTTGTTAGATCAAAAAGGTATGACGGAAGATTATCATCGAAAGCATAAAACAAACAAAAAGACAAAGTTAGTATTGTGTTACTAGATTATAACTATCAAAATAAATCTATTTTTATATTAGATGTTCACGTCGATGCGTCATTTTATCTTTACTTGCGACTCTATTTGTTTTAATCATTACTGCTATTCTACTCATTCTTTTGATTAAGCCTAAATTAGGAACAACAAGAAGTAAGATTAGTTCACTCTTTTCATCTGAATTATGAGAAATACATCTTGTTTTATTATTTGGAGCTGATATGCCTGTACTTCGTTGGAATTCGACAGGTATTACTGTTGCCGGCATTACTAATAATTCTGGTAACGCAGATAATCAACTTAATTTTCCTACAGATGTAAAATTGGATTATGAACATAATCTCTATATTGTTGATTCCAACAATCATAGAATTCAAAAATATTTATTTGGTGCTTTAACTGGTCAGACAGTAGCTGGAAATGGAACATCTGGCTCATCTCAGTATCAACTGTCTTATCCATTAACGATGATGATTGATTCGAATGAAAATCTTTATATATCAGATACATCTAATGCACGGGTTCAATACTGGCCTAAGGGTGCTGTTTCGGGGACAACAATTGCTGATACAACAGGTAAGACAAAGATAATAATATTAGGTTGGCAACAAAGTTCTTGCGTTTTTTTTGAAAATGTTCTAAAACATTCGAGAAAGTTCTAGAACTTTCCATACTAAGGGTATATAAAGCGAGTGTGAATATCTTTCGAATTATAATAAAGTCATCGATATGGACGCTGATCATGAACTGAAAATGAATCTTTCTCGTAGAGAGATTCGAGTGCTTTTACTTCATGAATTCCGTCTGGGTCACAAAGCAACCGAAGCAGCCAACAACATATGCAGCACGATGGGCGAGGATGTACTCTCTATTCGTACGGCACAACAATGGTTCAATCGCTTTAAGAACGGTAACTTAGAACTCGACGATTTACCTCGATCCGGTAGACCACTGGAAGTGGATGTGGATCTTTTAAAGCAGCTTATCGAACAAGATCCTCGGTTGACTTCACGGTGTTTAGCAGAGCAGCTTGGGTGCTCTCATACTGCGGTAGAAAAACATCTGAACGAATTAGGCAAAACATGGAGATATGGAGTTTGGATACCCCATGAGTAATCACCACATCAACTTCAACACAGGGTTGATGCTTGTATGGATTTAATGGCATCTCACCGCAGCTAGCAATGGCTCCGCAAACTTATCACCGGTAATGAGAAGTGGGTGTTGTATATTAACTACCCAAGCAGACAAGAATTTGGAAAAACGCGTTTAAACCCTACAATCGGGAACCGCGATTGTGATCCACTGACGCTCAAAAAAATAACGCCGTTTTTTGCGTGTTTCGCGTTTTTTTGCGCTTAATTTTCAGTTTTTGGCCGTGAAAACGGCGAAACCCCCACTTTTTGAGCGCTAAAACGCTTGATTTTTAAGTTCCAGAAAACTTCAGAAGTAAAAGCACGTTTTAACGCTCAAAAAGTGGGATTTTCGCCGTTTTCACGGCCAAAAACTGAAAATTAAGCGCAAAAAAACGCGAAACACGCAAAAAACGGCGTTATTTTTTTGAGCGTGAGTGGATCACAATCGCGGCTCCCGATTGTAGGGTTTAAACGCGTTTTTCCAAATTCTTGTCTGCTTGGGATACACACACAGACGCCAGTGGCTAAGCCCTGGTCAAGCAGGCGTAGCAACACATAAGACTGATCCACACCCCAAGAAGGTGATGCTGAGCGTTTGGTGGGTGTCAATGGAATTATTCACTGGGAAGTTCTTCCAAATGGTTGCACCATCACTGCTGATCTCTACTGTCAACAATTGGACCGGGTTGCCGAAAAACTCAAGGAAAAGCAGGATCGAATTTTCTATTTGCATGATAACGCAAGACGCCATGTTGCAAAGTCGATCTGCGAAAAATTATTGAAGCTCAGATGGATTACCATTCCTCATCCACCTTATTCTCCTGACTTGGCTCCAACAGACTACCATTTGTTTCGTTCTCTTTCTCATCACTTGCGTGAGAAAAAGTTCGACGACGACAACGACGTGAAAATGGATATCGCCAACTTCTTTGGTCAAAAGTCCCAGGACTTCTACGAACACGAGATCCTATCTCTGCCAGAGCGTTGGCAACAAGTCATAGATAGTAGTGGTGCAAATATAACTGAAAGCTAGTTCTACTGTTGAAGTTAAAAAATAAAAATAAAAATTTTGAAAAAAACGTAAAAACTTTGTTGGGTGTGGGTGTGTGGGTGTGGGTGTGTGGGTGTGTGTGGGTGTGTGTGGGTGTGGGTGCGTGTGGGTGTGGGTAGAAAGAAACGTTACACCCACACCCACACACCCACACATCCACACCCACACACCCACACACCCACACACCCACACCCAAACCTGCCGTCATTTAAAAGCACGAATGAGTGAACACTTAGCAGAACAGAAAAAAAATATCATCTCCACCAGTAAAAGTACCTGAACCGAAATTAAACTCGAATGTGTCATCAAAAAAAGTAATCGTAATCACAATTTACAGCTGATGATGACCAGGTCAAAATCACATATGATTAAACATGAAATCAATCAACGAAAATTATCACCTAAAGCTCTAACAAAAGCAGGAAATAATCGGAAACTAACAGAAGCATTTAATACAACAACCGCAACAAAAATTCATATGACTAGGTCACAAACTAAACAAGTAACATCTATTAAAACAGATTGGAAAAAACTAGAAACCGATGAGCTTCTATAAACCGTGATTCCAGTAGACAAAAAGGCAAATAACACGATTCCTAAATCTGCCTTGACCAAACATTTTGTCTCTACTGGACATATTTTCACCACCGACGACTTCAAAGTTCTATTGTCCGATCGACATCGGTACCGAGTATTAATTAAAGAATCTATATTGATACGACAAAGAGAACCAAAACTTAACGGTACCGATCGATCAATACCATTGTATATCTTTCCAGATGGAATTCCAAAAAACACCAATCCACCATCCAAACCAGGCACTCCAACATCTGATCACCAAACATACACAGCCATGCACACATGCTTTCTCTAAACTAAAATAAAAGCATCATATTTCATATCCACCGAAAACAAACCAACAGACTAAAACAACCATATAAATATTACTTCTACTCCCAATCTATTCAATCAACAACGAAAGTTCGATCTCACAAAAATCTCCCATCGTACTAATAAAATAAGTGCCTAAATTTTCAATACTACTCTGAATTCAATACACACCAAAAAGCTAATTCCTTAGATACTTCATCATCCATTTCTCCAAAACATGCTTTCATCATTTACAACTCATAAAAATATACATCCACTAAAATCCTATCTTCCACTATTTGTCCAACAATAAAACCACATCACATAGTAAACAAACCAAAACATGCAGAGACATTCCAAAGACTACTAAGCTAACCTACACTTTAATACCAAACAAAAGTACTGTAGATGACCGAATTTGCAAACTGGTTCCAACAGACACTGGTCGAAAATTCTACCTGTCATATAATTGAATAGAATAGATAAATTAATTAATTATTACTGCATTTTCTTTTGATTTATCAATCATGTATTAGAAAGCTCTCTACACTTTTCGAAGACCATATAACGAAAACACTATTTCTATGCGAAAGAAAGTAAAGATGATGACCTATTGAATGGTGTAATCAGAGTCAAAAAATACGTTTTCTTCATTGAGAAACTTGCTTCACAAGATAGATGTAGTGGGCGGTTCGAAAAATTTTTGGCTGTGGGTGGATCTGGATGTAATTGAGTGTGTGTGAATGAGTGTTAGTCTTCTTTTCATCACCCATACTCACCCCACACCCGTCTTGATAGTCATCATCTCTATTATAATCAATTGTGATCGACTTCTTCTATCGGTTATGACTTTGCGAAAGTATAATGAAACACTTTTTTACGGAAAGGTAGGACAATAAACCCTTGATCGTAGAATAAAAACTCTTTTCTTGAAAGGATAGAACAATAAACACTTTACCGTAGAATAGTAAACTCTTTTCATGGAAAAGTAGAACAATAAACCCTTTGCCATAGAATAATAAACCCTTTTCATGAAAGGGTAGAACAATAAATCCTTGGCCGTAGAATAATAAACCCTTTTCATGAAAGGCAGAGCAATAAACCCTTTTTATTTTTAAATACCCTTTTTCTCAGAAATCCTTTCGCACAAAAACCCTTTAAGGGTTTAATACACTGGCATAAACCCTTTAAGGGTTTAGGAAAATTTTCCTAAAGTGCTAGGGCTTATTATTCTACGGATTTTTTTTACAGTGCATGCATACACTGCATGATACGGATACGTTGCATGGAGTAAATAAATGATTTTGTTATAGTTACTGCAAAGTTAGATTTCTTTATTGCAGCCGACTCTTAACTTAATAATAGCTGTTGTAAATGGCGTTCGTCTGAGTATAAAACATGCATACTCCTCTATCAGTGATAAATAACAATACTGTTTAAAGACATATAAGCTTCGATCAGCGAAGCAGGTTAGTAAAAGAAAAAGAAGAGAATATACAAGCAGTGTTGTGTTTTGATTTTATTACTGTATTATGGTGTGGTTGCTTTTTATTACTCTGTGTGTCTTGCAATCCGTAAATTCTCGTATGAACTTGAGGCGACTAAACCATCCCGAACACTTCGCTGCCGCGAGATCCAGATGGCTGGAGGACTATGCACCTGCCAAGCAGAAAAGTGTATCATTTGTCGGACATACATTCAAAAATCCCAAAGCACAAAGTAGATCTATATACTTCATTTCATACTACTATGATTTATTGAAAATAGACTTTTATGTGAATGGAACAGCGATCCCCAATGTCACATTTGATGTTGGTCCTTCGTGGGCTGGTCTTTTGCCTATTAGCAATGCCTCAAACGAGACGCAACAGCTCTATTTCTGGTATTTTCCCTCACAAACGGTCGAAGGCATCAATGACCTTGTCATTTGGTTAAATGGAGGTCCTGGCTGTTCCAGGTCAATAGTACTTGAACACTTTTTCTTTAGAGTCATGTTATTCTTTGTGTAGTCTCGAAGGCCTACTTCAAGAAAATGGGCCCTTTCTATGGCGATGGGGCACTGCCTACCCGATGCCCAACCCCTATGCTTGGAATGCGTTAGCCAATGTTCTTTGGGTGGAACAACCTGTCGGTACTGGCTTTTCTCAGGGAATCGTCAATATTCACAATGAAAATGAACTTGCGTGAGAAAACAAAGAGAGAAGATTGAATGTTATCGTAGAAGCTTTGCTTTTTTTTAGAGAACAATTCTACGGCTTTCTCACTCAATTCTTTGACATATTTGCTGAGATCAAAAACAGTATCGTGTATCTTACAGGAGAATCTTATGCTGGAGTTTTTATGTGAGTACCTTTTACGAATATGTATAGTACATTTGTGCAAGTGATACACATTAAGATAAAATGTATGGTATTTATGTGTTGCTCGAGTTAGCGCCGCACATTCTAGAACGAAAATGTTCTGTAGTCTTCCTGAACTTATACATTTTCGTATATGGGTTTTCTAAATGATTTTTCGACTACTCATTGTCCAAGATTACATTGAGAGATTAGTCAACAGTCGAGTGTTAACTCTGTTAAACCTTCTAATCAAGACCAAATCGACTCGAGATGACTAGAGATCATACCGGGATACGGATGTGCAGTTTCAGTGAAAACACTGAAGAACTGCTTCAGTGCTGACTGAAGTACCGAACGGCAGTGCACACTGAACTTCAGTGCATTGATCTCACCGGCATTGGCATTCATTGGAACACTGGGTCACTGCATGTGTCAGAGTAAATATCTTTGCCAGTTTTAAAGTTGGTTTTATAATAGGCTGTAGTAGAATAAGGAAATACGAATGACATACTTGAAACATTTTTTAGGTTCAAAAAATTTCGATAAAGTTATGATTCAAATTAATTTTGAAAATGTTGTATTAAAATATTAAATTAGTATCTGTCAAGAAACGGTAATTTTAAAAAAATGGATTCATTTTATGTCATATTTTCTAGCTATGTCTATCAATTCAAACGCGAGCGAAAAATATAATTCATGACCATAAGCGCACAGACTTCTTAGAATCTACGGCTTCTATAACTTCCAGTTTACTGTACAACATTAAGAAAAGTATAACTTTATGTAAAGTGTTTCACTCTTGTCTTCATATTTGGACCTATGTAACTTTACCAAGAATAATTGCTTATATTCGGAGCTAAGAGACATTTATATCCGACGAAACAGAAGAAAGAAATGTACAACATTCTTTTCTGTTGTTCGGCTGCTTAACATAACATATCCGACTATACTATGAAAGCAGAAAGATGAAGGAGCTGGATAATTTCTTTTCTCTCTTCCAACTTTATAATCCAGTGCACCGAATGAGAGGACAAAACTATGAAGTAGGATATAGTCAGCTTCGCTTAAGAATTACGAGCTTACGACGGACATGAATTATAAAGAAATTCAAGAAAATTATAAAATAATTCAAATTCTATTAATATGTTTCAACTAACTGACTAGGTACTACCATCTACTAGAAGGTACTATCAGGAATTACTAGAGCTCAGTTAGGCTTTTCAGGATCTCAAGGATTCATCAAGGCTTTTCGACACCCACGTCAAGTGAGACGTGATGTGAATCTTTTTGCGGCCAACAAGTCCAAACCATAGTTGAACATGTTGATGCTGGAGACACTGGTAGACCCTGGAGACTATGGCAGGCCCTTCTTCAGCAACTTTGAATTATTTTGTAATTAATGCTTTTTGAATTACTTTATAATTCATTTGCGTCGTCCATTGTAGTACCTGGTGGTACCTAATGGCACCTTCTGATGTCTGGCGGTGCCTGGTAAATTAGCTAGAGCATATTAATACCATTTGAATTATTTTTATAGTTCATTTCCATCATCCAGTGGATCAGTCCTAAAAAGAAAGAAAAATTATTGTAATATTATGACGATATTCAATGGAAAATCGTTTCGAATTTCAT